CCTTTGTTGAGCATGTTCCCAACGAGAATTCCATTTGAAACCTCCATAAAAGAGACTATCTGAAGTTCATTTGTATGTTTCTTGAATTTGTCAATAATGGCCTCAAATTTCAGCTATCGCTTTGTCATCTTGTTCTTGTTATCTTTGAAGGGACTCTCCAGGTTAACAACCTTTTTCTCATCTTGCCCGTACAACCTTTGCCAAATTATTTTCAAAAAATGGACTTTTGATGTGCTTGGTGTAAAACTCGGTCTATTTCGAGTCATTCATAATGCAACAAAGTGGTATACTTTTCGATTGTGAGCACCACGTCTTCTTGATTGAACGTGACAGATAATTGCCTTGCAGAGTGTCTCATTTTTTCTTCTGAGTCTTTTCTGACCATAGTCGGACCTCTATATTTTTTTACCTCTTGTATTACAACCCTTTTGTCCATTAATGCAAACTATTTACATTTAACGAACATGTTTTTGTGGATCAAAACCTCTTTTGTATGATGTAAATGAAAATAAAATAAAATAAAATAAAATAAAATAAAATAAAATAAAATAAAAGGGGAAAAATGAAAGGAGAAAAAAATAGTGAGATAAGGATAATAAAAAAATAATGAAAATAAAAAGTCTTACCCCACATGCTATCTACTCCACATGCTTATTATTTCTACCCGGACATGATCTCTAAACCACATGCTAATCTTAAGCAAATCATAACTGTATAAATTTCTAGTTAACATGTGTTGAACATGAAATAAAGCATGAAATAATATCAAAGCAACCTAGGGTTTGAAATAAGGTTTTGGGGTGGACTCTAATTTCATGTAGTCTCCCAGTTTAGGTTCTAAAAGGTACTCGAGTTCTCCTTGCTGGTGCCCCATTGGGCTTGCCAGACCCTTAGTCATAAACTCATCACAGACTTGTGTAGACTAAGTTAAACTAGAGATGACACATTCCCTTATGTCTGTGCGGTGAATAAATTCACACGAAGGCGTCGCTTTTACCCCCATATAAATAGGGTTCAAAGCTCGAGTATAGAGCTAGAGATGACAATTTTAAAAATATTAAATCATTGAAAAAACGTTAGTACAACTATTTATTTGAAAAAATAATCAAAAATAAATAATTGGAATCGAATAAATAAATTAAAATTTAAACTTGTAATTTTCGCTCTAAAAGACAACCGAAAATTAATTTCGGCCTGACTCACATACTTGTCCCCAGTGGAGTCGCCAAGCTGTCGGAACCACCTTTCGGTTGGGCTTGGAATTGGGCTTCGACTTGAATTGATTGGGTTAGAGTCAACACTGATCACTTTAAAATATTTAGGTGGATCGAAAACCATCTTACCTGATCCGCGTTTTACCATAAATGTGTCGGGTTCGGGAGTCGGTTACAGTCAAGGAATGATTGACACCCTTAAACTGCCCTTTCGGTACCAATTAATTTGTCGATTGTCTTAATAGCGAAAAACCAAAAATTTAAATTTAAAAACCCGATTCGAATTACTTACCTTTGATCGATCGGAAATATCCTTAAAAATAAAAAATGTTAGATAAAGAATAATAATTAAATAAATGAAAGGAAATAAAAGAAATAATAATAATAATAATAATAATAATATAAAAAATATTAAATAAATTAAAAGGAAAAAAAAAATAAAATAAAAGTAATAAAAGGATCATATGATGAATTTACCCAAAGTTCAAAACCATTGGTTTATTTGATTAATTCCACGCCACAAAAAGCCAAAATAATGGCTTTTCTCCTTTACCATGCTGCTCAAAGTATGAGCTTTCAAACTCCAGTCTGATAGGCAGGCAGCAAGTCGGTCGAGCTTCCTCTACCTACGTTCACTGCACCATCGGTGATTAAGAAGAAAATATCTATGGGTCGACTCCCACTGAATTGTGTGTGCGTGAGAATGGTGGAACTCATTGACATCACCCGAGTGGTAGATTTTTGCCCAGTGAAGACCTTGAGAAAGCAAGGCATCAATTGAACGAATAGCATTTTGAAGGATGCTTGCGTTTTTTATGCTTCCACGTTTGCGATACTAGCGAGGAAACGAAGATATTCCATGGTAGGGAGGCCCTATGAAATTGCTGAAGAGAAGACAAAGCCAAGTTCTCTTTATTCATCTCCCATTTCCAAGTGCATCAGGATATTCAATCTAATCAGAATTAGGAGCTATGTCGAGGACTCTGAAGGTGTCGGATACATTGGCAAAACCACTAATACTTATTAATCGGCCATTCGCATCAAGGGCACCAGATATCTTCCCCGATTCGGTAAAATGAATTTCGGACTAATTTCCTCGCTAAACTCGCTCTGAAATTTTTTGACAAAGAAGATGGAAACGTTATACGTTTTGAAGTGAATCGGGGGAAGATAAGGAAACCGTCTCGATTTTTATATTAAAAGAAACAGAACAACTGCAACAAAATACCCAAAAATCACAGCTTTACAATACGAAACAAAAATATATTAAGCTTGTCGGAGGAACAAAGCTTTGAACAAACAAATAAAAACAATCAAAGTTGTTTTGGGGAGAAACAACTGAGCTTCTGCCTCCTCCTCTCTCTGCCTTGGATGCTTTGTTCGTACTCTCCCCTGCCTTTGTGTTCTTTTCTTTCATAGGTCTCCCCCACCAACCTTATTTAAAGTTGATTTCAATCACTCTAAATCCACGCCATTTGCTTCCTGATACATGTGGTAATGGAGTATGTGGGTAGATATGTAGTTGAGATAATGGTGGGGCAGTGGGGCCTGTAAAAAAATTAATAGAATTAATAATAATTAATAATAATAATAATAATATAATTAAATGTTTTTATAGACTCAGATAAAAACGGATGTTTACGGCAAGCCTTCCTTCATAACCAAGCTACTAAGTAATATAATTGATTCTACAATTACTGGAATAATAGGTTCAGTGTAAACCTGATGATACAAAACCTGCTATTTCAAAACAAAGCTTACCAAAACTCCCCCAGTAACCTTTCAGAGAGACGGTGGTACTCGCCGAGGGTGAAGAACGGAAGTAGCAGTTGTCGTCGGTTCAGAGGGAGCCAAGGCCGGAGCGGTTTCGGACATACGAAGCACGTTGATGTGGACTTTCTGTCCAGATTGGCAGTGTCCAGGAACACCACAGAAAAAGAAGTGGTGACCTTTGGTAGTTATATTAATGGATTCATTGCCGGTGGTGTATGTAGCCGAAGGGGCTGAGGTATTGCATGCGAAAGTGGGTTGTGGGAGCACATTTATACAGTGGACCCCAACAAGTTGGTGAATGTTGGTACCTATGTTTGCCAAGTGTACTGTAAGATTCCTTTGTTGTGAACAGCGTAAGATTTTAAATTAGACGATGGACTCCTCATGGTAGTTCTGCGGTGCGGCGCTTAAAAAATGATTAATATACGGTGTGATCGGTTAAATAAGTGATCGGTTAAAATTTAGACCGGTTATGTTATATTATTTAACCGGAAATATTATCAAGTACAATAACATATTAGGTAATGCTTATATAATGTAATAGATAGCGCTTATATAATAAAATAGGTATTTAACGGGAAATATTATCAAATACAATAACATATTAGGTAATGCTTATATAATGTAATAGATAGCGCTTATATAATAAAATAGGTATTTAACGGGAAATATTATCAAGTACAATAACATATTAGGTAGCGCTTATATAATGTAATAGGTAGCGCTTATATTGACCTATTTTATAAGTAAATCGGTATATTTATACCGGTAACATTGCAAATTTACCTATTACATTATAATTATCGGTTTCGATATTTCATAAAGTGTCGAAACTTTTTATAAAAGTATCGACACTTTATGCTTGCACCTCGTTGGGCATTAATATTTCATTCTGGACAAAAATATCGACACAAACTAAAAAAGTGTCGATACATGATTTAGACATATTCTCTCATAAAACCGGTATAATTATACCGGTTTCATTGACCATTTACCTATTACATTATACTTTTGGGTTTTGATATATAATGTTTTATGAGAGAATATGTCTAAATCATGTATCGACACTTTTTTAGTTTGTGTCGATTTTTTGTCCAGAATGAAATATTAAAACCAACGAGGTGCAAACATAAAGTGTCGATACTTATGGTCTAAATCATGTATCGACACTTTTTAAGGGTACACCTTTTTTGGCATTCATTCTAGACCGTAAGTATCGACACTTTATGCTTGCACCTCGTTGGTTTTAATATTTCATTCTGGACAAAAATATCGACACAAACTAAAAAAGTGTCGATACATGATTTAGACCTATTCTCTCATAAAACCTGTATAATTATACTGGTTTCATTGAACATTATACTTATGGGTTTCGATGTTTTAGGGATCGATACTTTTTTAATAAATGTATCGACACTTTAAGGGTACACCTTTTTTGGCATTCATTCTAGACCGTAAGTATCGACACAACTTTAACAAGTGTCGATACTATATGATGACCTATTTTAGCATAAAATCGTTATATTTATATCGGTTACATTGTAAATTTACCTAATACATTATAATTATTGGTTTCGATGTTTTTGGGATCGATACTTTTAATAAGTGTCGATACTTTATGTTGACCTAATATATTATGCGTGCACCTCGTTTGGGTCGATACTTGTTACATTGTTAATTTACCTATTACATTATAATTATTGGTTTTGATGTTTTTTGGGTCGATACTTGTAGTTATTGTACATACATAAATATGTACTGCGAATTTAATGTTGTACCCACCCTTTAACTACCACTACCAATACCACATCCTATTGAAAGCAGCACGACTGAAACATGTTCAAAATGAACCTTTGCTTACATCTCCATCAACTCCTGGACCACTGAACTTGCACAACAAAATTTTTGCCATGGATAATACTGATGTAGACAATGTTAAGCCAACCGAGGAATGCCATGAAGTACATAATGTTGATGAATCTGACAGATTGGTTGGTCAGCTCTTCTGTTCACGTGATCAAGCTTGGTACTTTTACAAGGGATTCGCACGGGAACATGGGTTTAGTGCACGTAAGGGAACAACACGGCTTGACGTGGAAGGGAATGTGAAGACACAAGAATTTTGTTGTTCCAAAGAAGGGTTTCGAGTATCAAAAGTCAATATTGTTGATCGTCAACGTGCTCATATGCCAGTCACAAGAACATGATGTAAGGCTAGAGTCGTAGTTACAGCAACAAATACAAACGATCAGTGGGTTATAAGTAAGTCTGATCAGAAACATAATCATGCATTGTGCACACCTGCTATGGCACCATTTATGCGTTCTAATAGAGCTATAAGTAAGGCTGATATCGATGAGGCAACAACATTGAAAGAGGTCGGTGTTAGCACGTCACAAGTAATGAACTATTTAACCCAGTAGGCAGGGGGCTATCATAATGTTGGATTTAAACATAAAGACCTCTACAATTCACTTCAAAGAGTAAAGCAAAGGAAATCGTCGATGGGGATGTGAATGCGCTTATTGCCTACTTTGATTATAAGAAACATGATGATCCCGGGTTTTTTATGACATACTCGGTAGAAGAATCAGGGGCATTGTATAATCTTATTTGGTCGGATTCTACATCGAGATCGGATTACACATGCTTCGGTGATGTAATTGCATTCGACACAACGTACAAAGATAATTTGTATGGTCGACCAATTATGCCTATTGTTGGTGTCAATCATCACCATAACACAATTATGTTTGCCACTGCCATAATCGCTGACGAGACGTCTCAATCTTTCGAGTGGGTGCTACAGAATTTTTTAGAAGCCATGATGAATAAATCACCTATTTCAGTTGTCACCGATGGGGATAGGGCAATGCAGAGGGCTATCAAATCTGTTATCCCTTATGCTAAGCACAGATTATGTTCTTGGCATCTTTCTCGCAATGCACAAGCTAACATTGGTGACCCAAAGTTTACAGCAGCATTCTCAAAATGCATGGCTTCCTGGTGGACAACCAAGGAATTTGATATTCAATGGCGTTCGGTTGTTTCAGAATTCAACTTCCAAAAGCATCCATGGGTGATTGAGAAGGGAAATACACGACACTTATGGGCACAAGCATATCTAACCGGTCATTTCTTTGCCAATATTCGCTCAACACAAAGGTGCGAGTCTATGAATGCTTCACTAGCTATTGCACTGAAACACAAGAAGACATACTTAGATGTTGTTCGTGCAATTGAAGATGGAATTAGTAGAATGCGTATGAACGAGTTGAAAGCGGATTACTTAAGTTCCCATACGAAGCCCTTCCAGATCACAAAACTGGTCGACCTTGAAAGCCATGCCGCTGCGATTTTTACCCGCGAATCTTTTCGTGTGTTCCAAGATGAACTTATACGGGAGATATTGTAGCAGATTGAGGCATAGATTAAGTCCTTATCAGATGAATGCCAACATTATATTTTGTCAAAGTACGCATAAAAAAATAGGAAATTTGAAATTAGTTTTGATTCTCGTACGAAAACTCTAATTTGCTCCTGCAAAAAATTCGAGACCGTTGGACTTCCGTGTCGCCATCAACTTCACATTTTGAAGCACTTGGACTACACATATTTGCCCGGGACTTTGATTCAAAGTAGGTGGACTAATGATGCGAAGGCTTCTGCACCCAGTTATGTTGATTTGAATGTGTCTCCAAAAGTGATGCAAATGGCAAGGTTCGCTGCTCTACGTTCAACGTCAAGTAGGTTATGCTACATTGCATCAAAGACATACGAGTCTTTCAAAACCGCAAGAGATGAGATGAAAAAACTAATAGAAGAATTAGAAAACTCGTTTGGTTTGAATGATTCAGTCAACCAGAGCATTGTAGTAAACAACGTTCGTGACCTTCAACGAAAATTAGGCGATGTGGGTACTGCAACGGTGAGAGACATAACAAACTAACATGTCCTCAAGTCAAGCTCAGTTTGAGTACAAGCACACAGCCTACATCAACTGATTTTTTCGAAGACGGAATGGAATGGCAACGATCTCCATATATCGTAAGTATCAACATGACTCCTATTGTGTATAAGAAATATGTACATATAAATATTTTGAATGAAGGAAGAAAAACTGCGTTACTTAAAATTAGCGACACAATATTAAAAAGTGTCGATATAGGTTGTAGACCTATTCGCTCATAAAACCGGTATATTTATACCGGTTATATTACAAAATTATCTATTACATTATAATTCTGGGTTCCGATGTGTAAATGTCGACACTTTTTGATAATGTATCGACACATTTTTCTTCCATTATGGACATAAAGTACCGACACAATATTAAAAAGTATTGACATAGGTTGTAGATCTATTCGCTAATAAAACCGGTATACTTATACCGGTTATATTACAAAATTATCTAGTATATTATAATTCTGGACATAAAGTACCGACACAAAATTAAAAAGCGTCGATATAGGTTGTAGACCTATTCGCTCATAAAACCGATATATTTATACCGGTTATATTACAAAATTATCTATTACATTATAATTCTGGGTTCCGATGTGTAAATGTCGACACTTTTTGACAATGTATCGACACATTTTTCTTCCATTCTGGACATAAAGTACCGACACAATATTAAAAAGTGTCGATATAGGTTGTAGACCTATTCGCTCATAAAACCGGTATATTTATAACGGTTATATTACAAAATTATCTATTACATTATAATTATGGGTTTCGATGTGTAAATGTCGACACTTTTTGACAAGGTATCGACACATTTTTCTTCCATTCTGGACATAAAGTACCGACACAATATTAAAAAGTGTCAATATAGGTTGTAGACCTATTCGCTCATAAAACCGGTATATTTATACCGATTATATTACAAAATTATCTATTACATTATAATTATGGGTTCCGATGTTTTTTCAATCGACACTTTTTGAAAAGGTATCGACACATTTTTCTTCCATTATGGACATAAAGTACCGACACAATATTAAAAAGTGTGAAAACTTTGTTGTGGATATCATGGAAAACAATGATATAGTAAAGTGTTTCGATACATTTGCAAGCAGATGTAAAATACATTAATAACTAGTATTGATATTTCAACAATCCTCAAATGTATATGTATACAGAGAAGCAAATATGGAATAATTAATGAAAATATACACATAATATAATCACACCAAAATATACATACACAAGAATGTTCAAATAATGTACCGACAAACGAAATTAATCCGATGAAAAAGGGTTATTTCTAACGAAGTCCGGAACATTAGAGGCCTTCAACAAATTTTTCAAATACTCTCATATGTTTCCGCCTTTTTCTGAGGACATACATAAATAATTTCAATTATCAAACTAATGAGGTGCAATTTTACTAACAATAAACTAAATTCGCATAAGCATGAATAAATTTGTGACATACCTAGAGCATTGTCGTTCGAATGGGAAGCAGCGTCAAAGGTATGTGGACATATGTAATTGTATTTCTATATAAACACATAAGTTGTTAAAATAATCAATGTCTGAACACCTGTTCAACTGGAAAAACATATTGTATAAATGCAACTTACCGGATTATAAATCATTTTTTCCGCTGAATCATCGACCAAAAGTGTATTTAGCTCGTTAAAATCTGGACACGCGTTCCAAACATCATTGAGATCTTTACAGTAGGTAACAGTATCGTATGTTTTGCATTTTGCTTGATCCTGTTCACAAACAGTCGAACATAAATATGTAGGAATTATAGACAACAAAAAGTCAGCAAACTGTAATGACATTCATGTTACCCACACGAATAGAAAATGCTCAGAAAATAAAGGTAGTTTCTCAAGTACACGGTCGACGTTATGCCTGAGATTGTAATCAAGTTTGAATGTTAACATTCAAATGTATATTAACGATTTTGACTACAGTAATTCAATTGCTCCAAACATGTTCTAACCTCATCTTTGAAGACCAAAGGGCAACAACAAAATTGTCGACACAAAATTGCATAAATTCAAATAATCCTGTTCTGAGGACAACATCTACAACATGAAGAAAATGAGATTAAAGTTCTACGCTTATATGTAAAAATAATGAATACAAAAGAATAGAATTAAAACCTACAGGCAGTCTTGGGATGTAGGCAAGGAAACCATTGAGATCAAAAATTAAAAGTTTTCTTGAAGGCGGCGTTGCAGACACGATATACTTGTTTGGATCATCATCATCATCATCATCATCATCATCATCATCTTCATCGTCATCTTCATCGTCAGCTTCATCTTCATTGACCGCTTGGTTGTCCACATCTGTTAAAAGAAAATAAAATACAGTTCAGAACGTGTAAATGTTTATAAACATAAATAATGAATTACCTAACTCGTTTGATGTCGTTGACGTAATTCGTCACGCAACATGGAGACTTCATGTTGCAATGATGAAATATCGGATCGCATTCCACTCACAAGGGAATCAATATACTCCCGAAAATTGACCATGTATTCTATCACGGTCTTAATTGTGACATCCTCTGCAACTGGAGCTTCTTCTATCATCGCGTCTCCACTTGGTTGCTCTTCTTCATGGCCAACGGGGTCCATTTCATCCCTTTCTTGATCTAATCCGACCTCCTTGACACACTTCCAACCGAGTTTTTCAACAAAATCATATCCCGCTTTTTTAATAAATACCATGTCAATCTTGCGGGTTAATCGAACAGGGGCGTCATGCGAAAAATCAACTTCCTTCTTCTTCAACAGATGGATGATGAAACATCCATATGGTAGTGTAGCTGAAATTGTTGCTCCCTTTGTGACCATATATACAATTGTATTAAATATGAGTTTTGCAATGTTTGGAGCCGTTTTGGATTTGGATTTATACTTTGCTATCCACCAATAATTGTTGTCTCAAAGCGTTGAATGTTTTCCCCCACTAGGTCGGATATACCATGTGAGCATTTTGTGAAACACTCTCGACTCTACATCGAGGTGAATTGGGCTATTTCTAGCAACCCTTTTAATTGTAGACCAATCTACACCATTTTCATCTGAATCCCCTTTATTCGTTACACCTAAACCCTCCGCAATAGTTTCCGGAGATATATATATATCATTCCCCATGACATGTGTATTAATTCCAATTATATTAGGCTCGTGCTGTAAGGAAGCATTGTTGTAGAAGACTCTAACTAGGTTGGGATAATATCTTGGTTTTACACCAAGGAATTCAAGCCAACCCCAAGATGTAAATGTGGATTTAAAACTAAATGCATATTTATCATCAAACAAGAAACCCAAGTCAATGACACGTTCGAGACGAATCTTCCTTACTTTAAAACTCGTCTGCCATCTTTATTTCTCCATATCGGATTTAAAGTTCAGAGTTTTGAAGGACCTGATTTCCTCAGAAGAATCGTTTGTTTCAGAATGAGGTTGTGGTTGAGAAGAACTGGGTTGAGAAGAGCTTTGAGAAAGACCGCGCTTCTGACGCTGACGTTTTGGAGCCATTTTGGTTGGATGCTATTACAATGGAACACAAACACATTCAGGAAAAAAACTCCAATATAGAAATCAATCAAACCCATAAAATATCGATAAATTTACCTGAAGAGTTATCTTCTGCCTGCTTGCCTTTATGTTTAGGGTTTTTGGATTTAGAGTACTATATATAATGAACGGTGGAAAAACACTTGATATTTAAATTAGTATCGACAAAACATTAAACAGTGTCGATACATATTATATACCAATTCTCCCATAAAACCGGTGTATAAATGACATCGACTTCATTCCTCCTCATTTCTTCCATCTCTTCTTCTTCCTCCTCTCTCTTTTCTTTTTCATATTTTTTCAGTTCATCGTATTTTTTTTCTACATAACTCTTCATCTCTTTTATTTTACCCTTCAATTGATCTCCTTCATCCAAGTATTTATAAACCACCCCCTTCACCCCCGTAAGTTCACTCCTCAATTCCACAACCTCCTTCACCACTCCCTCAAATTTTTCACCCGTCACCATCTTAATATCACCCCTTAACACCCCAACTTCTTTCACCACTTCACCCATCAACACCTCTACTTCTTTCACCACTCCATCTATTTTTCCTTCCACTACCCCCTTATGCCTCTCAAGTGTATCTTCGACTCTCTCAAGTTTCTCTTCGACTCTATCAAGTTTCTCTTCGACTCTTGATTGTCTTTGCATGATATCAAATTGGATTTTTTTGATATCAGCCAATTCAGACATTAAAATGTCGAAGTTACTATGTTTTCCCTCACCGTCGTCCCACTCACCGTCATCCCCCAATACAACCATCTCTCCTTTATTCTCCTCTGCCTCCACTGCCTCCTCTACATCCTTGCCAATAACCTTCAAAATTAAATTACAATATTAAGACATTGATTATATTCTTAATATTATTTAATTACATTTATTACCCTTTCTTGCTTCTTCGCTCTATCCAACTTCAACTTCACCATAACTCTAACCACCTCTTCCTTCCCCCATGCACGGATGCGTGCCACTCCGGTTCTTTCATAAGCCGGCACTGCCTCACAGCCCGACCAAAAATCGAACAGTGCAACCTGCATTTATAATAAAATTTATATTTTTATATAAAAACACAAAAAAGTTCTTCAACTCATTTACCTCTAAGATTGCTATGCACCCTTTGAGGTATCTCTAGCTGCCCTTTTTAAAGGTGATTATTGATTCAATCAATCTCGAATGGATATATTCAGCCCAATTGAATTCACCCTTCAAGCCTTCATCGCAAATGAGCTTCATATGTTCCTTGTTCGTTGACGTATGACCCGTTGGACAAAGAAAGATACCGACAAGGTATAATAGAACTTTGGCCTTCAGCTCATCCCCAACGTAAGATCCACTTTTTATTTCCTCTTCAATTTCAGCATATGTCACCTTCTTCTTCAAACCATATTTGGAGGCAAGTGCTTTCCAGTCCTTACTCTTACAGACTTCTACAACACTTTTGCCTTCATTTTCTACCCCCAATACGGCTGCAGCACATGGGATCCCGAGAGGAAATGAAAAATTACCATTCTTAGCAATACATTGTCTAACATCAAATTGCGCCATCAAGGATCGACACAATTCCCTCCGAATAGGTCGATCCCTTACTCCTACCAACGATCCAAAACCTATTTCTCCCAGCACATTCAACTGACCCTTCTCCTTAAGGTGTTTAATTAATGAATTCACCCTTTTAATGCTGCATCTTGTCGACACTTCTTACATTTTTTAACAATATATAATGTTATAGTTCTTATATATTTTGTATCAACGTATTTACAAGTTTAATGAATACCTTATTTTCATGTGCTTTCCTCCGTTCTTTGTATTCTTTACTATCATTCCTTGACTGTGTGATGTAAGGTTCCTTTTCAGAATCACTCATTGAATTCCATTTGGACCTCACATCTTTTGTCACCTAATATTAAACATAAACGTTTATTAATCAATACATTAACACTAAATAGTACTCAATGTCAATTTCATTTTACATATCGAACCGCTCTGTGTGCTATCTTCCTTCATCCTTTTGCATTCGGCCATACTGTCAACATTTAAAATTTGTAATCAATTTAAAGTTTATCGATACTTTAATCCAATTACCATTTCAACAATAATAACAAAAAGACATTGATACTTACTAGAAGTACATATATCCACCCTTTGGTTGCTTTCGAGTCTCAGCCTCAATTTCAAAGTCATCTGCGCCACCAACAAATTTCCAACCCATTGACTCCATTTTTCCTTCATATATCAGTTTACGCAAATCAAATTATTTTGTTACATACACTTTATTCAATATACAAATATAGATAACTACTCTTGTGCTAAAACGGTTTTCTTCAAAAGAATTTGAATGGCCACTACAAAATGTGACGGCACATTTATACAACCTATAATATCATTTTCTACCTATAATATTTAATAAAAGTATCGACATTTATATTTTACCTTCAATATCACTTTCTACCTGCAATCGGTCCCAAATGCTTCTTTACTCCAAAACCCCAAACAACACATAAAAACCTTATTCGCGATTACTGTAATAATAAAAAACTAGGGTTTCGACAACATACTTTTCGATTCGACTGCATCAACAAACAAACAAACAAACATCGCTTTAGAAACGCCTTCTGAAATGCAGCAACAATTACGCTTCGATTTCAAAAACTCGTCCGTTCTATCGATTTTCAGAGGATATTTAGATATGGCATTTATATTTTCATCGGATATGTTATTTATATTTAATCGATACAAATACAAAAGTGTCGATACTTTTATGTCAGGTGTCGATACTTTCGAAAGGATAATTACCTATTTCTTTGAAAGTGTCGATAATTTATTACACGTACTTATGAAAGTATCGACACTTTCAATATATCCGGTATCGTTTTACCGGTTTTATCATTTTGATACCGGTTTTATCATATTTTTACATGTTATATCGTTGTGGATCGATATATATTTTTAAAGTATCGACACATTATAGGAGCTAAAACTGCTTCTCTTTTAAATTCACAAAGTGTCGATCCTTATATAAAGTATCGACACTTTCAATATATCTGGTAACGTTTTACCGGTTTTATCATATTTTTACATGGTATATCGTTTTGGATCGATACATTTTTTAAAAGTATCGACACTTTATAGGATTTAAAACTGCTTCTCTTTTAAATTCACGAAGTGTCGATCCTTATATTAAAGTACCGACACTTTAAATGTGTCCGGTAGCGCTTTACCGGTTTTATCATTTCAATACCGGTTTTGTCATAGTTTTACCTGTTATATCGTTTTGGATCGACACATTTTTAATTTGGATCGACACGAACCGACAAGTTAAGTTTGCCAGTTGCACAATTTTTTAATATTTCTTCATGACTTAGACCTACTACATTATTATTAGTCAACATTTCCGGCTAAACCGAATTTGTTAAATATCTTTTAATATATCCGGTAACGCCGTATATTAACCCGCCTTTTCTGAGACAATCCCATTTCAGAATCAAAGATAAATTATCAACAACAAAAATATCTGAAAATACCCTTGGCTGCTGTGATGAATAGAGGGAATACTTGTGGGAGCAGTCTCGGAATTTTTCAGATTCTCTTATATTTTAATTTTTTATTGATAATTACTAAAATTTTATAATAAGCTAATTCCCAACTTACTCTTATTTAAAAGTAAATTCAGTTCCAAATAGAGATATTATGCGGAACCCAATAATCTAATTTTGTTAGAATAGAAAGAAAATCCAATACACCAACAAGCACCTCGACAAACCCAGAATTGCGATTAAAACACTTACGCAAATTAAGGGAAGAAGAAGAACTTACTAATAATGTCACCAAGTTTGAAGGTTTTGGTAGCAGCCCACTGCTTGTAGTCAATATTGCCAATGGTGGTCCAACCAGCGGAGTCTCCGACCTAGTAAACAGCTGCATAGGAAAATCGAAGCAAAGCAGCCATCAGAAGCAGAAAAGCCCGGGCCATAACTCGCTTTGCAGCCGTTGTAAAATGTGGTTTACGCCCCGGAGGAAGAAGAAGAAAGGTGTTTAAATATATATTTTCAACTTTGGTCCTTGGGGCGTTCTTAAATTTATGTTACATTTGGGAGTTTGTGGTCCCCCTACTTTCTCATATTTATTGGTACTGAATACCATTTTATTTCTAATTGACTCTACAATTCATTCTAATTTGACCTTTCAATTAGACATGTCGGTTGGTTTGGATTGGGTTAATTTGCATTGGATTAATTTGGATTTTAAATATTTAAATTATTTTGAGTTTAAATTAATTTTATGTTCGGATGATTTTATATTTCAAATTAGATGAATTTGAATTTTTAAATTTTGGTAGAAGGGTTCGTGAAGCTCCTGTTCTTAAAATAAATAATGCAGCTATCGTACTATTATTTCTTGATGCAGTCCTCCGACTTAAAAAAAAGAATTTGATGTGATCCTTTGATCAATATATTTTGTCATTGATTAATATTAGTGTAAGTCATTCGTCATTAGGATGCTTTAAGTCAACCACAAGTCTTTGTAAAAATCTTCATGATTATTCTCATTCCCCTTCAACAAATCTCCATGCAAACGAAAAATGGTTATTTTTGTTTCTACTAATAGTCACAAATTCCCTTGGTAACAGATTTAAGAAAGTATCTTCATAACTAACATATTCATTGATTAATGGCAAAAAACATTAACCAAAGAGCCACAGTATATTATTATTATTTTATTTGAAAGATCACATTGAGAGAAAAAATAGTATGAATGTCACATTATTTTTTAAAGTATAAGGATCTTGCGTACCCTTTTTCCTTCAATTTTAATATGATTAAATTAAATTATAATTTAAATTAATCAAGAGGAATCATCGAGTTGCGTTTTTAATTAACTGATTAATTCTATTATCTCTAGTGACAGTTGTTAACGATAAGTGATCGATTTGTCATAAATCTATAATATTAATGAGCAATTTGTTACTTTTTAAAATTTTAATAATAAAAATAAAAATGTATTTAAACATTAATGATCATTTGTTTAATTTATCTGTAAAACAATAGGTTAAGCTAATCATAGAGACCTACTTGAATTTCTTTTTCCGATAGAAAGAGACCGACTCCCCACGTCGTGAAAGACCTAATAGGTATTTATTTTTATTAGATTTTTGGGGTTAAGGATTTGAATTTATTTATTTTTATTTTACACACATACAATATAATATAGTAGCTCTAAAATTATTCTTCTACAATACATAAACAGTTTTTCCTTAAAATGTGGGACCCACCATATATTAAAATATTTATCCCAAAAATAATTTAATTTATTAATAATAAAGATGATTTACATTAGAAGCAGAACATGATTTATTCAACCAATCTAATCAAATTGCAAGTCAATTTTTTTTACAATTAATAAGAGAGAGAGAGAGAGAGTACAAACCTTGGGTGGAAAAATAGAGTGCTCCGATCAATCATTATTCGGCTGAGGGGAAAATAAAATATAATAAGAACGATGGACAGCACAGCACTGCACAGAACGGCACAGCGCAGCACAGAAATGAATGGTCCCGCAACTTTGACTCCCCGTAAATTAAAAAAAAAATTCATCAAGTATAACAATGAAAAAATGAAAATGCAAAGTAGATCAGAAGCAAAAAATGGAGAGAATTAAATGTGCATATACATATACACCTTTCAGTTACATATATTATGTCAAAAGATCTTGTCTACTCGTCTATTCAAAATCCCAAATAAAAAAAGAGGAAAATAAAATTATATAGCAGAAAGAACCATCGTTACTGCCAAAACAATAGATGGAAAAGTTTGGTGTTGCCTCCCTTGCAGCCCTATTTCCCCTACTACATCTTTTGCCTTGCAAAAACAGTTTTTTGACAACCTATCTCCCCATCAAACCACTCTATTTAATTAGAGACTTGAGGATGATCGAGTTTATCAACACAAGTGTATACATATATGTTGGATAAATATCATAGTAAGTACAACCCACAAGAAACTCTGCGATACAAACATCTCTTCCCGCTGCCCTATCTTTTTCTTGTTCCTTGCAAGGCAATAACCAATACGAAAAGCACAGAAAGGGCATAATTCGACTCACCAGCAGGTTGTTTCTGCTCTGCTGGTTTCACCTAAACAGCTGCAGGGACGGCATGAACGTACTGCAAACCTGGAACAAGCTGATAAGGCTTTCCAGAGGACTGTGTGGTAACAAATTGAGCAGCATGGATAAGCCCCTGTGTTGTTATTATGCCACCTTCTGTATTTCCCGCAGCAGCTGCCTTTGCATAGTCGGTGGTACCAGTGTTGGCTGTAGAACACAATGACAACATGGACGTTGAAGTTGTTGATGATCCTGGAGGTTGTGCCTGTTGTTGGTCGTTATGATGTCTTTGAAGATAGCACCCACTTGCAGCTGTGATACTTGGTGCGTGTTGAGCTTGGGCCTTCATTAAGCATTTGAGAAGAATAGCTGTGCAGGATGCATTGCGTGCTTTTGGTACTGCTGTTGTTGCTGTTGCTGTAGCACCACCTGGGGCTTGGTACCCATATTTGAAGATGAGCTTAAGCGAGGGTTTCCCAGGACGGAAGGCACACTCCCACCAATAGGAGATGACATCTGACTAGATGGTGTGTTCTTGGTCTGCTGAGATGATAAACTAGATTTGTTGCCAGTAGAAGCGGAACCTGTTGTCTTGGGGCTACCACCTGCACTCCTGGAGATTGAAGTTATGGGAGAGCCAACCACCATCGGAGAAGAGGGGGATGGAGTGCTACTAGGAGGCTGTTGACCTTGTGTTGATTTAGGATTAGCTGTAAAAGAAATCTCTGTGGTTTTGTTGTGGCCGGGCTTGTTGCAGGGAAATATTTTTAAGGGTTGATGAAGTTGAAGATGAGAGATGGAGAAACTTGAGAAGTAGTTGTTCCTGCAGAATTCTTCAACTGAGAAGATTGAGTTGGACTGCTGCCGGTTTGCACCATATTTTGAGGAAACAGGTGATTTGGAAATTTTCCAGCCATAGAAGACGAAGGAAGGTGATCAGAATAAGCACTTCCGTTATTTGTTGACAGCAGTTTACTTCGAGAAGCGGCGGCAGTCCCAAGCATTTGCTGCTGCTGATTCCGCTGAAGTTGCTGCTGAGCATTAGGAGAATTTACACCACTGATCGAAGCTGGCATAACAGAACCTGAAGTTCTGCCAGGAGCAGAGCCAAGATTAATTGTGCGGGCTGAACTATCAATAACATTGCTGCCTGGAAGAGTGGAAACAGACGAATCAGACAGATCCGGTCTGGAGAAGGCAATGGACTGCCCAGCAGTAGCAGAAATATTTCCTGCCATTGCGTTCCTCCCTTCTTCCACACTAGATGCATCATTAGTTCCATGCTTCCCTTCTTCAGAAGCACGATAATTCTTCTTCTTCTGTTGTGCTGTTTGGGCAGCTACGGCAGCTGCCATGATCTGTTGATAGCTTTGCCTTGTATTCTCTGGAAGGCTTTGAAGAATTGCATGATCACGTGCAAAGGAGGAAATATCAAGTCCAGAAGCAGTAGTAGTACCATTAATGGAGGCAAATGACATGGCAAAAGATTGCGATGTAAGAGGCTCAACTCCAGGCTTCGAACTTGGCTGTCGAATATGTTGCTTCTTTTCCCCATGGTTACCACCAGAAACGGTGGAACCACCCAATGGCGCAGCAGTCATCAAAGTGAAGTTCGGAGGTTGCAAGGGCATGGCAAAATTCTGACCATAAATATTCATATTAACACCAGATACTCGGCTATCAGCAGTTGATGGGCTATCTTTGCCACCTAATTCACCCTCACGGCGCCGAGCTTGATGAGAAGCATGCTGACTTGGCCGTTGCAGAAGCTGTAGGGGATGAGGTGAGTGGTTTTTGGAAGTAGGAAAAACTTGCAAGTTTCCACTGCCACCACCCACCCCAGTTCCATGAGGCCTCTGCAAATGCTTCTGGGAGGAGGATGCACCACTGGACACACTAGGGTTCTGGTGACCTTGTTGGCTTTGCTGTAACTGTGTAGGCTGCTGCTGTTGCTGAATCTGTGACGGGTGAAGCATTTGGGAAGAATAGAAAGATCCAGGAATAAAAGGCATAGGCTGTGCATGATTTCCTCGATATCCAGGCGGTGCCCCAACATGTGCAGGAGATGGAAATGGATATGCATTATACTGCGGAATTGCCAAGTACTGGGATTCGTTGCCTGGCATATTTGCATAGTTGAAGCCAGCACCAGGAGATTTCACAGAACCAGGTCGGACAGATGCAGAAGCAGCTTGTTGCTGGCTCAATGGGAAAATAAAAGCAGGGCCATGCTGAAATAGAACACATCAAAAAGAAAAATATCAAATTGATCGTCCATATGATATAATTATCCTTAAATAAATATCACTCCAGACTCTAAGTTGTCAACCTTATTTGTGTTTACCCCATTAATACATATAAATACTCCGTCACATTGAATCTGCTACAAAATTTTTAAAATTTAGATTTATAAAATTTTAGTCTAACTAAAATGTTTCTTTTTTGACATTCAAATAAAATCTCAAGACTATCAAATTCGACAATGGAAAATGAAATTAAAATATTTGTATAATTTAACAAATTTTCAGTGTAAAGAGATTCGATCTGTTAGACAGCATGAGTGAACAGCAGTTAATAAGAATTTAAATTCTAAAAGTATTTTCTATATTATTATATACTGAAAAAACCTATACAAGTGTTACTGTCGGTGTTACACAGTGCCTCCATAAAAACAAGAAATGTTGATAAATAGTGTTTGAATGCACCAGCCGTGTGCCTGATCAAGTGGCCTCGCCCAAAAGGGTCTTAGGCAATTTTATTGTATAATGTTAAGGGCAAGTTCACAACACTATCAGATATAATTGTGGAATTTTATGCAGCATAAGACAGTTAAAAATAAATAAATAGAAAAGAGGTTTTCTCAGTCAAGAGCATACCAGAATATTACTTGGTGCTCCAGTGGGTAGAGCTGGCTGGAGAAGTATTTGCTTTCTCTGTGCACCATCCACAGTATTGGTAGCAGCTTGCGAACTTTTATCTTTACCAACATGACCAGGGAAAATTGCAAGACTCTGCCCCTTATCTTGTACAGAATTCATAGCTCTCCCAGGAATGTTCCCATTCAATTCTGAAGGGGGCACAATATTTAGATTTGCCTTTGGTCCATAAAGTGAAGCTGAGCCAGGTGCTGCTGGCCAGAAAGGATTCATCTTCATGAATTGCTGGTGATAGCGTACATTCCGAGCAATATAACAATGGGTTGCACATCTCTTTGGCCTTGGTTGATTAAAAAGCAAATGTGGAGGCTGCATGGTCCGAAAGTTAAAAGATAGATTAGGACCAATAATAATAATAATAATGACAAAGACAAGAGAACATAAAGAACATTGTGTCATGCCTGAATAGATGCTGATGATACAGCGCTCCCGTCCGTGGAAACAACTTGTAGAGGAGCCATGTATCTGCTCAGGAAGGGGGGGGAGGGGGGAAGTCATTACCCCCATTGTAACATCTAAACCACAGGTTTATATCATCTAATGCCAAATACGCACAAAAACCCAATAATAAATCAACAAGTTATACCCCATTGGAGGAAATCCACCAGGCCAGCTAGCCAATGACATCGGCAAAGATAGAGGAGCACCAGATTGTGCTGGACAAATAACAGAAATCCAATCAGAAACCAGAGAGAAGTTTTCCCATGAAAAGAAAAAGGGATTGCTTTTTACCGGATTTCTCAATATCAGGCTGTTGATGCTGCTGCTTTTGTGCATGGTGATTACACTTGTTGGCACAGACACTACCTGTGCCACTATCTCTATCAGATTTCTCCAAATCAAGCTCAAGATTAATATTCCTCTCACTATTTAGAACTGGATTATGTGACTCCGCTTCTTCAGCAATCGGTTTGGGCTTCTTATTATTATCAGCATCCACATTCACATCTTCCTTTCCGATTTTCACTCTTTTATCATCTTTCTTAACCGCAGACTTCATCTCCTGAATGTGGAAACAAACCAAAAGCCGTTAATGACAAACATCATAGTGAAAGATATGACAGCTTGGTGACTCACCAATTCCATATCTGTGGACATTGGATTAGGATCTGAAGCCCCAAAACCAATCTCATCATCCCTTTCTGGTGATGATCTAGATAGAGGAAGAGCCTAAAACCAAAAAACGGTGGGAGAAACCAAGAATTCCATAGTTAAGAATCAATAAGGAGGAGATTTTTTTAAGAAAAAAAATAAAGTTGGATCTTTTAACAACAATGGGATCCGTACCATCAGATCAATCTGGAATTTCTCTTCCCGCTGACTCTCAATCTCACGAACCATTGAATTCCTGAGACACCAAAGGTTTCCAGACTTATAACACCTCATTAAAAAATAAAGGAAATGAGCAAAGGGAGCAATGCTCACGCTTTCGTCATGGTCAAATTATAACGCTCATCATCTAATCGGAGACCAGCGGAAGAAGGATTATTATTAACAGGAGATGGTGCAGTTTCCTTCATCAGCGATTGAGACTCCTCTTTTTTACAGATACCCAGATCTCTACCCTCAGATTCTTCGGTCAAAGGCTTAGAATCCTTTACCAAACTGCACTTCACTTCCTTCATTGGTTCAGCCTGATCCAACCCTGATGAAGATGGTCCGGCTTGAGAAGAATTCACCAAATTTTCAGCCACTTGTACAATGTTCTTTTCAAAATTGGGAGAGGTAGCTTCAATTTTAGCAGGTTGATAGATTTCAACCTTAGTTGTAGTAGACGAAATGGAATTGTTCATAACAGGGAAAATAGGAGGTGGTGCTATCTGCGTAGTTTCATCCTCGTACTTCACTGGTCTTGGTTTTTTACTCTTTGGAGCTGCGTAAACATTACAAAAAAACAATACCCGAATCAAAATCTGTCACCCAAATGCTCAAAAAGGTACAAGCTTCTATTTCTTCTAATCTAAAAGTTACTAACCAAT